TGTCATTTACGTAGGTACATCTATTGTCCCTTGGTGTATTTTCTACTGATTACATACCCGTATTAAATGGTAAAGAGGAGGGTCTGATATCTGTGGCATCAACACAATAGAATAGAAAGCATTCATGAGGGTCCAAATATAACTGCAACATGCGCAGAGACACAGAGGCCGGGCCCAGATCTCACTGTTTCCTGTTTTAGAGGCATGTGAGGGGCTCAGCTTCCCATTGTTGCAGCTGGAACCCATAGTCAGTAATGGTATCTAATTATAGCTGCACATAGCCATTTAAGTTTTAATCCTGTGCTGACAGCACAGCAGTAAAGAGACAGTGGGACCCGTCAGATCCGAGTCCTAATGTTACTGCAAACTTCTTTAAGTGTCTAAATATAACAGAGGCTGTTTGGGGCAAACGCTATGTATCCTTAAAAGGTTTCGAAGAGAGGGGTTTATTAGCTAGAATGAGGAGCTTCAGCCCATTAGGCAGAAAGTGCCCCCCGGCTGCTTTAAGCCTGCTACTTATAGAACTCATTTCAGAGACAATAAAATGTCTGTTCAAGGTTTTCACACTGATCTCTATACAGGCACATCTGCAGCCAGCAGACTATGTGTTCTGAAGCAAACATTTTAGCAAGTTTGAGTCACATTTTTATGTCCAATGTTTGGTCATTAGCTTTTGTTTCCGTCTCTTTTTAGTCGTTGATTTTGATTGTGATACCTTAATGAGGATCCGACAGATCAGACAGGGAAAAACGAGAATAGTCTTCAGTAGAAATACTTGGACTTGATCATTATATGAATCATGGTAGAGTAATATATATCCTGGAGTACAAGACCTCTAATCTTTCAGGCATGAAGGGACGCCAGAAAGGAAAAAAGAGTAGCATTAATGACAACTCTAATTCCATAGAGGTAGGAAGAGTACCTGTCGTAGTTTTACTGAAGTAAAAGTTAAAAGCAGTATCCAAGAAAATACAAGAGTAAAAAAGTATTTGGTAACTAGGCAAAACAAGGCAAGTTATCTATATAGCGCATTCAGTAAAAAGACAATTTAAAGAAGGGTGAGTTTTGGTATACGTGTTGCGATACTTGGGTCATGATACGATATTATTACAATAATGAAATGTCCCTATATATTGCGATGTTTTTCCTAGCTATTGAAATTAAATGCATACATTAAAAAAGCAAGTTTCACTGTGACAGCCTCGACTACAGAAATGGTACTGGGTTATCTGCCAGAGCAGCGGTGCAGAGGTAACCCATTTTCCCTTATTCTTTTAGGTAGAAATGTTTTTATTCATTTTTTGATGATATTAGGAAAGTAATGATCGATATTATATCGGGCAGACCAAAATCCCGATATATCACCAAATCAGTTTTTTCCCACACCCCAAATTTCAAGTGTTTTGGATTAATTAAACTATAAAATATCTTCCACAGGTGCAGCTCATCAGCTCATTAGCTACACTCTCCAATCAGCTTAAGAGGAGCAGGAGCCCAATTGTGAAGATGCAGGACAGAGGGACCCAGAATTCAAGGCAAGACAGACAGTGTGATACTTCAAAACTTTAATAAAAATAAAAAATAAAAAAAAGCAAGCTGTGGTTCCGGGGTTGCTGCAGCTAGGGCATCTATAACTGGAAGCTCTGGTTAAAGAGAAACACAGGTTAGTGGCCATGACAATCTGAGGGGATGATTATCCATGTGAGTCACTAACCTGGTTTAACAGTTCAGTCCATCTCCTGAAAACGAGGTAGGATCCAGCTGGTGGGCTGCCAACGAGATGCGGCGTCACCGCCTAGAGCAGGCATCCCCAAACTCGGTCCTCGAGGGCCGCTGTCCTGCAGGTTTTAGAGGTTTCCCTGCTTTAGCACAGCTGATTATCATGATTGCAGTAGAGCTGAAGCCTGTTAATCAGCTTTCAATTAAAATCAGCTGTGCTGGAACAAGGAAACCTCTAAAACCTGCAGGACAGCGGCCCTCGAGGACCAAGTTTGGGGATGCCTGGCCTAGAGTGTCCCAGATAATGCAGCTGCGGAGGACAAGCAGTCCTAGCCAGTTCAAAGAAATAGAACAGAACAGGAGGGCTCAGAGATCCGGTCAGGGATACCGATCAGAACAGGAACAGGCTGGTTTAGGATCCCAGGAGTCCACAGACAGTTCAGGGAAAATGTTCAGATGGGAACCAGCACGCCCAGTGGATGAGAGGCAGATCAGTATCAGGAAATCAGAAACACTACAGAACGCTAAAAATCCTCTCTCCATTGCCCCCCGAGAAGAGAACAAGCTAGTCTGGCCCTGATAGCTGGAAGCGAGTACGTTACATAGACGCAGAAGCAGGTGAATCAGATGAGCGGTAATGAGCAACAGGGCAGGGTTAGACAGG